GTGAAAGTGCGAGAGATCTCTCAAGCCTAAACCCTACACCTTCAACTCTGAACTAAACCCCGAACCCTAATCCCCGAACCCTAAACCCCGAACCCTAAACCCCGAACCCTAAACCCTGAACCCAAAACACTAAACCCGAAACCCTCGGACACCGTGAGCGTGTGGACTTTGGCGTGAACATGCGGAACCTTTCCCGATTATAGGGTCTACATCTTAGGGCTCCGTGATTGTTTGAGACCGCATGTTACTGACTGGCATGTTTCACATTGCAGACTCGAACCATATGCCTCGCCTGGATTGTCCAAGTGTGAGCGCCGAAACCCTCGGACACTTATTGCCATGCCTGCAGTTGCGAGTGTGTGGGTGGAAACCCTAAACCCTAATTTCGGCTCCGGGCTCACTTTGACTTTGAAGATTCTCTCTTGACCGTTCTTAGAGGCTCAGGGGACTTAACGTGCGGCTTGAAGTAAGGCAACATGACGGGTTTGGGGTCTATAGGGTCGTCATGAGGAGGCACTGCAGAGAGACCCCTAAACCCTAAACCCTAAACCCTCAACCCTCGCTCAAAAGGGTACTCATGAGAGCTGAACCTCCCTGTGCTCAGAGCTTCAGACGAACTGCGCAGGTCGTGATTGAAGCAAGGGTTTAGGGTTTAGGGTTTAGGGTTTAGGGATTGAAGCAGGGGTTTAGGGTAACATAAGGGTCTGAACAAGTACTGGCAGCTTTTTGTAGTAGTTCCTATAAGGGATACCCCCCCAAACCCCTTAGCATGCAAATAACTCCCACTATATCAGAACCCCCTATGGTATCCCTTGTAGTAAAAGTGACCCTCACGACGTTTTTTGTAATACCCCTTCTGGCAACCCTTTGTATAGTCAAAACATTAGCTCCCTACCGAGGGTCGGAGTTCCTGCTGTCTCACTTCGGGGCCCAGCATGAAACCGAAGAAGATGACAAGACACGTTCGGTGGAGGGACGTGGAGTTTTGGGCTCAGGGCTTACGATTAGTGTTATGTCGCCACTGGCATCCGGCCTTTTAAAACCTGGAATCTATCGTCGCCCTGGTGTGAGCGCAGCAGCAGCAGGAGGACTTGTAGCACCATGCAGACCTTAACCATAAGCTCTAAACCCTGACAGCATTTTTCTCCAACGATCTTCAAGCTAGGAGCGCAATCGCTGACTACAGACCCCATGACGGATTCAGTAGCAGTCATAAAGTCCTACAGATCCGCAAAGATCCGAAACGCAAAGCCTTGAATCCAAACCCTTGAGTACATTTACTAATTAGGCCCTATGAGCTTCACAGCAGCCTGAACTTTGAACTTTATAGATAAGCCCAGACTGGGAACCGAAAGGCCTCAGCTGGCTTGTCCGAGATTTCAATGCGACACTTTAATGGCAAGAAACAAGCCCCACAACCACAACGAAAAGCCGAAAGCTTTTGAGACTGACCTGGGACCTATCTTAGGACCTTAAAAAACCCCTACACCCTAAACGTCCCCCTAGGCAAGAGCTCCACGAGCTCCAGCGGCTCCTCTCGCGGGGCACCGGGCAGACGGGGGAATCCCGAGAGGAAGTTTTGGCTCCCGCAGCGAACCAGAGCCGCCCCGCGCCTCGGCGTCTGCTGGGTATCTGCTATCGTTCAAAGGCTTTTGGCTAGAATCAATGCTCGCTTAACTATCACTTCACCATTGTTGTTAGGATGGTGATTGGTTGTATGAGTACGACGTTTTTCTACTAGTCTTACTGCGATTGGTGTCGAGTAATCCTTTGCTCTTCTTGGTGCGAATATCGTCATGGTTGCAATTATCATCATTGTCAGCATCATGATTCTCCGCCTTCTTTATGCCACGGTTATCAGTTCCAAAGTCACGATGACTATTGTTATCATGACCAAAGTCATGATAGGAACGAGTACTATTTCATTGCTCCGATCTTTGTCATTGCCTTTGGTGTCTGCATGGCTGCGAGCATAGCCATCACGAGCCCGTGAAGCTTGTTGTGTTGCTAGGTAAAGTGCTCATGTTGACTGCTATAGTATTGAAAAGAATCTTGTCATTTGGCCAAAGCGTCGGTCACGGCAGTGCCGTTGATGCTATCGCTTGTTTCCATCACCCTTGTGCAAGAAGCTTTTAGGGCGCTTCGTTCCATGATCGGGCTTTTAGCATCTTGGGCTTTGGGCCATGGCTCGGGAGTTCCGGCGACAAGGGGGGGTTGAAAGTGGCATGGTTTCAGCACGGGTTTGAAGGGCTTCATGAATGCCAGTAATACAGCGCCAACCCGTGCAAGTAGAGAGCTTGTCTCTTCCTACGATTGCTGGCATCCCCCCAAACCTCGAAGTTGCGAAAGCCGAAACCCTGACCACCCTTGTGTAGCTAGTTTTGCAAACAGTTGGCGACATCGGTTCATGTCATATGGTGTGGGTCCTAAACCCTGGTCCCAAACCGTTTGCTGCTGCCTGATCTAGTTTCGAGCATTGGACCCTTGTGCAAGCCTAGCCTGGTGCGCCTGTGTGAAAGAGCGGGTACCCTTTTCCCCAAACCCCAAAGCCCTAAACCCAAAACCCTTGCAATGCAGGCAGAGTCCTAGCCAAGGGATAGGCGTTCAACCCCAAAGCCCCCAACCCTAAACCCCAAACCCCCTAGACAAAGACACCTAAACCCTGGAGCCTTGAACCCCAAAACCCTTAACACTTGAACTGAGGAGTTCCTACAGCCCGGGCTCGAGTTTCCTGGCGCAAGAGATAATTCTAACTGCTATCCCCGTCGTCGACATGATGTGCCGCGTCACCTAAGCTGTCAAGATATTTGCCGATAGCTGACCTCTCATATGCGGTTTGACTACAATTCCAAACGGTTTGGAGTTGGATGAAGCTTTTTCTGCCCGCCTGACTTGGACGAAAGCCTCCGCACCCCGGGGTCAAGCGCAGGTTGTGCATTGTGAGATTGAGATCTGAAGAAGCTGGTGCGTGAGAACCGATACAGGCATTCGATGGTGATGAGAATAAGGACCGAGATGTTGATGAGGATGGCAAAACGTAAGTATTTTGAAGGCTGTTCTGATTCTGTTGATGATGCGGGTCATGAACTTGACGATGGTCATCATCTCCTGGCCAAGGGTGAAGGAGATGCTACTCTCAGGGGCATGGCCATGACGTCGATGAGGATTGATATTAGCAATCTTAGCAGTCTCCGGGGTGGTCCTTGTGTCGCACGGGAGGCCTGCCGTTGCAAACTGGCAGCTGGGGCCAGTAAAGGAGCCGGGCAAACCATGATGTGTGCCCCGAACGTCTGCCTGCACAATGAGGGCATTTGTCTCGTATCAGATGTGCTGGAGCCCTTTGGGAACGGCGTATAATTGCCCTTAAGGTAAGCCTTATAGCCTTATCGAAAGCTTCTATAGGTCGAGAAAGCCACGACAGCCTGATAGCAACCTTCTAAAATTCTGTAGAAGGTGCCCTCCTGCGAGCATATGTTTCTGGCGGCTGCGGAGCTTGCCCCGACCCTTCCCGCAAAAAGAACGCGCATAGCAACGTTTTGCAGCAGCCCCTGTAGCAATCCTAATTGTGACCCTTATCACAAACCTTATAGTAACGGTTACAGCAATGCTCCGAGTCTTCGAGTACCCTTCGTTCCGAAGCCTTGCAAGGAGCATGTGCCGGCAGGTGGGCAGGAGACGGGTCCCCACCGTGTGGTGCAAAAAGAAGCGGTTGGGGCGAATACTGCAGGTCACTATGTCATGACTAGCCATGATTGTTCGAGTTCAGTGCCTTAAGGGCCTACCCCTTGCATCCGGGTGCGTGGACGCCAGTACAGTTGGGCACGTTTTTTAACAAGCCTCCGGAAATGTCGGGCTCTGCACCGTCCACCAATTCGCTCAGGGGCATGCAAACGGGAGCATTTCAAGCTAGTGTTTGCGTTAGTCTTCGTAGCCTTGTGGTACGTTGACAGGGTCGACCTGGCGTGATTTATTTCCGACAAGCTTGGGCACCGAAGGCGAGCTAGTCCTTTGAAAGCAGTCTTTGTCTGTCAGTGTCCGAATCTTCGTCAGTAATCACCCGGACCTCTCAGCAGAGGTCCGAATACTGAGAGCCGAAACCTCATCTCATCCGCATGCCTTTCTAGCTATTTCTGTTCAGGCCTGGGGAGTCAAGCCTTAACACTAAACCCTAAAGCCCTAGTGAAGGCCCTAAACCCCAATAAGCGCCTTGAAAAGACGTCCTTGAAACCAGGAGTCGCCCCAGAGTCCCGCGAGCCCCTCATCCTCCTCGAGATCCCTCAAAGAGCGCCGGGGGCTCCGGCTCTCCGTGGACACCGCCAGCGCCGCTCGCCCTCAAGCGGAATTGCAGCAGTCACGGAAGCAGTGGCACCAGCAGCAACAGCACCAGCAGCGCCAGTGCCGGCGGCACCAGCGGCATTTCACGTCAGCAGCACTAGCGACACACCTTTGGCACCATTTTCACGCTCCCAGTTCGCTGCCTCCTCTTTGCTTCTCCGCATCGTCACGGGTGGTGACTGGTAACGGTCTTGTCACTGTCATCACGGTCATTATTGTCATCGATACCATTGTCACGATCATTACCCCGTCATCCTTATCATCCTCATCATCGCCATCATCACCATCATCACCATTCTCACCATCATCACCAGCAGCATCATCAGCATCATCAGCATCATCAGAATCATCATCATCAGGATCATCATCATCATCGTCATCATCACCGCCACCTTTGCCACCTCCACTGAGACCAGATTCTTCTTCGTTTCTCCAGCTTATCATGTATTGATGTAGTCGAAGCCGGCTTTTGCTGTTGTGCATTGAGCTGCGAAGCTGGTGGCCCAAACAATCATTACACGAGTCTTTTTGCACCTTGTGCCACATGCGAGCAGAGCGCACGCCCTGCTGCAACCCAGCCCCTTCACGGACCACACACCAAAACACCTTGAACAAACTCTTTGAGAGCACTGGAATTGGACCCCACAGCACTTCAGAAGTGCCTGATGCGCCAGGGGAAGAAGCGGTCGCCCGTGCCGCCAACATCGACACAGCAGGGGGAGGCACCTGTGGTCCAGCCCCAGCAGGTGGCCTTGGGAATCTGCTATCTGCTTTCTGGAGATCAGGGCATGATATGGTGTAGCTCAGTCCGTCCACCGGGATTGCATGCAGCCTAGCGATGAGTCAGTGAAACTGCGCTCCTGTATCTTGAAGTCGCAACCCCAAACCTGGAAGCCGAGTTCTCGCGATGCTTGCGTTGTGTCTGTGCTTCGATGCCGTTGTGATCGTCCAGTTCCACCCAAACCCTTACGAACCGAGAGACCTTATTTGAGATCCGTAGCCTCTGGCCGTAAATTAGGTTCCCAAATACAGGACCCCGAAGAGTGAGTGACCACACACACCACTGCCACGTCCCTAGACCACAACTGGTGCTTGCGCTTACCGGCACGGTGACTCAGCTAATCCCTGTCGCGATGTTTGGGGGTTTCCGAAAATAGGGGACCCTAATATAGCACCCTAAATAATAGGATCCTTGTTATAAGGACCCCAAAATAAGGTACCCCTTATTTTCGGAAACTCCCATTTGGTGGAGAGAGTGGCCTTCCGCCCCTCGGTTTTCCTTACAGAGTGCCCTTTTTTCCGCAGGTGGCAGAGACGGTGCCGGACAGCAGCCAGACGGAGGCGCCCGTTTGTCTCCCTATCTCTATATGACATATAGAGAGAGATAGAGATCAATGTATAAGTGTATGGTAATGTGTGTATGTATGTATGTATGTATGTATGTATGTATGTATGTATGTATGTCGGTATGTATGTATGTATGTATATATATATATATGTATTTATACTATTTATATTACACATTAACACATACACATTCGGGTTCCGTATGGTCTGAAGCTCCGATGTGAGCAAATTTTCTGAACATTCAGAGACGGTGCATCGCTGTGCAAAGGAGCAATTGATGGGACTGATTCAAGAGATGCTTGCCGGAAACCTTCGAAGCTCCCCATCGTGTTGAAGGCAGGAAGATCTTGATACATCAAAGTTGCTATCTACACCAGGCAGAAGCTTGGCCCCAAATCACAGAGCCAAGGCCAAAATCTTACAGCCGATGCATGCCTAAACCCCAAATCCCCGCAAGCCCAGAACGAGCCAGGTGGCACCTGCGCGCCGAGGGTTCATGGCTCAGGGGGCTTTGAAGGAAAACCTATTGGCAGGTATTCCATGCCAAACTTTGAAGAGTCGTGAGAATCCGCGGGGCTAGCTTGCGTAAACAGTCAACCGATACTAATTCCCCTAACTCTACGCCTTACGCCCTATTGGCCATCAACCTACTATATTTGGAGGTGGACACGAATGTAGCTCAGGGTACTTGTGCTGCCAAAACCCTCAAAGACAAAGCCTAAATCATTTAAACCTTAAACTCTAAGTTCGAAGCCCCAAGCTCTAAACCTAAGCCTTAGACTCTAATGGGTACTTCCGTGCGTCTCTTCATTCCGAAGAGTGACCCGAGGAGTGCCTAAAGTTCGGCTTTCGAGGTCCTTAGCCGCCTGCCGGCCTCCTTCTTTGCTTCGGGAGGCGGCTTCGCTTGCAGAGATTTTAGGGTTTGGGGTTTAGGGTTTAGGGTTTTGCGGCGTGACGTTGCAAGCCAGTTGCAAAAAGGGTTTTAGGGTTTAGGGTTTAGGGGATGCAAGATAATATAAAAAATGCAATGTAATTTTTACCTTGTATAATAGAAGAGAAGATAATAACATGTAATATAAATAACAATGATGCAAACCACACTAATGAGAACAATAACAATAATAATAGCAACAATAACAAACATAATGCCAATAGTATCAACAGTAGCAGTATAAATATCAGTATTCAGCACTATCAACAGTCGTTTAAAGCATGTTAGGAGAAAAAGATAATAGATTAATAGAGATAATGGGAATAATATGGTTCAGTAGAGACGTAGGGTTCGGCAATTGGGGCTTGAGGGTTTGAGGGTTAGGGTTTTGAGGGTTAGCCCGGATACGGATTTACGGGTTGAGGCAGCAAGTTATCAGCCCTTGTGATGGAGATGTTTGGCGCAACATCCTTTAATGCGTTATGTGGATCGGTGTGCCGAGAATGTCGCTTTTATCGAGACTCCCAGGGCGTAGAGGGGAAAGGTTTGCAGGAATTGGGGCTCAAGTAGTTTTTTGGGTTTAAGATTTATGGGAGCAAGAATTGGGAGCTCGAGCAGTTTGGGTACCTGGGGGCTAGTAAGGCAAGTGTTGGCGGTCCGGTGGAGGTGAAGGATCTAAGGGTGGAAATCAGCTGTCGGTCCAAGTTTGCACGTGCGCTCCAACTCTACCTGAGAACGGTGAGATAAAGCTTTTCAACAGATTTTAAAACTTTGTGCAGAAACGTTCCTCAAATCCCTTCAGCCGTCTTTCCGTTCCAAAACCCGAACACACAAGGGCAATGGCCTAAGATCTTCCGGTGCGCAGCCCAAAAAACTTGCAAAACCCCGAAGCTCCCGATAAGCGGAATTCCCCTAAGCCTGTTTTCTTTAACCCATGTTTCTTTAACGCCTTAACAATGCCAGGACTCTGAACTCTGAACCAGGAACCCTAAACCCTAAACCCTAAACCCTAAACCCTAAAGCCTGAACCCAAAGCCCCCGCAACCAAAGGACCGCCTGCATCGGCGGAGCTTGTCAAACCTTGCGGAGGTTGAGGCGCTCTGGTCCGGAACGGTTTAGGGTTTAGGGTTTAGGGTTTTGGGTTTAGGGTTTAGGGCTAGAGAGATCGATGAAATCATACTGCTAGAGGCACTTCAGAGAGACCTCGTTCAAAAAGGGTTTAGGGGACCGGAGCTTTCGGTTTCGAAAGCTACGGTTTCTTGGTTTAAGGTCTAGGGTTTAAAGGGTGCAGAGAAGGGGTTCAAAAAGGGGCGGGCTTAGGAGGGTTCGTACGGCTTTGCAGGGTGGTCTAAGGCCTCTTTGGGTTCAAGGTTTGGGGTGCCAGAGTTTGGGCTGTTTCGGGTTGTTACGAGGGTTCAAATTCTCGAAGCAGTTGTTGCAAGCAGGCTTCTACGATTCTACGGTTTTGTTGGGAGTGTTTTTTGTTTTGCTGGTTTTTGGGCTGTAGGACTGGAAGGGCTCCAGGGGCGTTTACTTCTAAAGGTTTGGGGTTCGGGGTTTGGGGTTAATAGCAAGGGCACTGGGGTGTTTTCCGTGTTTGCGGTTTTGGGGTTCACAAGCTGGGCCCTGAACCTGAAGTCGCCATCAACTGGGGACCTGCGCAACCACACCCACCTTCGCCCCAAGCTGCGCAAAAGCCGGCTTCCCACCTGAAGCAGCGGGCTCTTGTTCTAGTCACCACTGTTGGGGCGGTCCTAAATCACTGCCGGTTTTGGATTGATTTCACCTGCCTCGAAGGGAGCTTTGCTTTGTTGAGCATCCCTCGTCTCCGCTTCATGTAGGGCCCTTGATAATTAGAACAGGGTTTTGGGGGTTCCTTATTCTAACTATACTATAATAAGCCCCAAAACCCTATCCTAACTATTACCCTAAACCAAACTATGTGGAGCTTGCCGGCCGTGTGCGAGTGTGAGAGTCGAAACCAAGTATTAAGGCCCCTGCATTAGGCCATGGACTTGGGATCGGCCAGGTGCCAACTGACGCCGACCAGCTCCTGAAGGTCCAGGACGGCCCTTTTTTTGGCAGGGGTTTACTTGGAGGTTCACGGGTAGTTTGTGGATGTTAGAAGGTCTGTATAACCCAAGTTTGGGGGATTTTTATAACCCCAATTCAAACCACCCATGAACCTCCAAGTAGGGCTTGGAGCAGGTCTAAGACTAAGGTGGAATATATATCGGTCGTTTGCGCTGACTGAAATGCTACACAAACAGTCCCTTAGCTACGCCGAGTTTGGAACCCTAAACCCTAAACCCTAAACCCTAAACCCTAAACCTAACGCGGTTCCAGTGTGGGTTTAGGAGTTTAGGGTTTCGGGGTACCCTCCTGTGCTACGGGAGCCCAGGGCTGAAGGCTTGCGAGTTCAAAGTTTTGAGCGCGGGCTTTGAGGACACGGGGTTTAGGGTTGAGGGTTTTTTTTGGGTTTAGTATTTAGGGGTTTGCGTTATCTATTTGGGGGGTTATCGGAAGTTTTGGCTCGCCAGTAGATAGCCGGAGCTCTGTCGGAGGCGCCGAAGCTGGATTTCCTGGATGCGCCAGCCTCGCCCAAGCGCTTGATGCTCACTTCACAGAAGACCTGGGAGGTGCGCTGCTGGCAGTTGGGTTTGGGAGAGAAGTTGTGAGTGATGCCATGAGGACGGAGCCGGTGTAGTCTGTGATCATCTGAGGCTGACAAAGGCTCGACGGCAGCGGCTTGAGCCCTTGTGCTTCGTTTGGGATCTTGGCTGCTGGTTCTGAACCGAGCTGCCCGACTTGCAATTGAGGACCAATAGGTTCTCGCAGTCTTTCCGGAGATGCCGCTCTCGACGAAGTCGACATGCGGCAGCCTGCATCGCCGCGAGGACCCTCCTGCATCGCAACGAGTCGCAAATTTCTCTGCAGAGAACCGCGGGGTTGTCTAGATCTAGGTAGCCTTATGACTGACCAGCACGAGCACCAAACTAAATTGCAACGGGCTTGGCGTATGAAGCACCACAAACACCCACATATATCCGGGCGCCCTTGTTCCATCCATCAGCTGGGGTTACAACGCGGAAAAAGGATCCTGCCTGACTGGCTCAAGCCAGGGACTCGTAGGGGCGTTTAGGTCCCTGTCTGACTGGACCCTAGCTCCCTTCATGAACCCTGAGTTCGTAGACCCTAGACTGAAAACCGTACCTAAACTCTCGACCCTAAGTCCTACACCCTAAGATCCTAAGACCCTAAACCTTAAATTCAGCAGACGTAGCCCCTCAGCCCCGGTGGCACAACAAGCCCAGAAGCTCAGTGATCGGAGTTACGAGAGAGTGGTTCCAGAAGGGAGAAGGCGTCAGGCAAGTAAATACAAAGACTGTGTGTGTATAAATCTACGTATATAAACAAAAGTAGTTGGAGCTCAAGGAAACTGTCCACGGCCTCAGAACTTGAAAACAGCTCCAAGAGCCTGCTGGCCGTGGCCCTGTCTGTTGCTATTCGATGACATGGGAAGGCTGGAATGGGGTTGAGGGTTCTGACATACTATAACGTACTATACTTGTACTGTAATATACGGCAAGATATTGCAAGTTCCTGTAATGTACTATGACATACTCGTGCTTGTGGTTTCTACTGGCCTGCAAGAAGGTGTCCTGCGATGTGTTAGGCTATGATTGAGATCGCCCAGGACGAAAGGACAGTCGCAAAGTCGTTTGGGTGTTCTGTTTCTTCTTAGGACCCCGGAGTCTGCCATCTAGTGTTTTATCACCACTATTTTCTCGCCAAGTCTTCAACATGCCCTGAAAGGAGCCGTGGTTGCCCAATATATTTGGCAGCTAATGATACTGAGCAGGATCACTTCTGCTGTCTCTAATCCTCCTCTTTGCTTTCTGGTCATAAACGCCTAAACCCAAAACAGGATGAGTCTCTTTGCCTCGCCTCGCGCTGTCCAGTGTGAGACAAGTTCTTGTGAAGCCTTGCCTGTCTTGTGCCAGTTGCGACAGTCGAAACCACTTTCGGTGGGGCCAGAAAGTGCAGCATTTCCCGCCGGCTTGAGTTTACTGATCTTTTGCCTAAGCCGAGTGGTTCTGAAGTCTGAACCCTAAACCCTGAAGCGACCTCGCCAGCTAGGGGTGGGATGAAAGAGAGCCTGAGGATCGCTGAGGTTCGTGGCTTTGAAATCAAATTTTCGTGCTTGAGGCTGTGAGGCCTAAGCTGCCCTCTGCTGCAGCACCATGACGAAGACGTCCTGTAACCTAAAAACAATAAAATCCTGTCAGATCCGTTCTAGGACCCTTTATAGGAGATTTGCAGAACCCCAAACTCGTCACAGGTCGGAGGAGACTGCCGAAGGCACTCTTCTCAGGTGCGCTCGAAATTTTGGGTTGAGGGTTTGGGGATTACACGCTTGTCGTTCTGATCATTTGTTTCACGTACAGTAGAGCCGCAAGTGCAGCACTTCAATCAGGCTTGAATGCCCGGGAGGGAGAGAGAGGGGTCGAGGTGTGGGTGGTTTCAGGTTGAGGATTTTGGATGGTCTTATAGGGGACCTCTAAGAGGGTTGAGGCTTTTGGAGGGTTTAGGGTTGAGGATTTAGGGTTGTTGTGGACTCTGTGTGTTCGTGTGCGTGTGTGTCGGGTTTAGGGTAGTGACTGAGAGCCCACAATCTCAAGATCTATATTCCCATGCCTTTCTCTCTTCAGAGATGTGAAGGTCTTGGCCCAGATTCAGATGATGATACATCTGCCACATGTTGATGCTCATTGCCCATGCTACGGTGGCCACCCTTGTTGTTGATGTAGTTGTTTTCGTCCATGAGTTCGCCATTGTTAGGGAACTGTCTCACTTTTCTCGTAGTGCGGCTAGCCACGCTATCAGCTTCATGATGCTGAGCTTGGTTGTGTCTCTAGCACAGGCACAGGCATTATCGCAAAGGCTGCGCAGCACTTGACAAGTACATTTTCCTTCAGTGCCGTTTGTATCTTCAGCATCATCAGCAGGAGAAGAATAATTATTACCCCCCATTATCATCACCATGCTCAGTATTTTCAGCTCATCGCCGAGCATCGTCTTCATCTCGTCATCGCCACCACCACCATCATCATCGTCATCATCATCGTAGCCATCAACACCATCTTCATGGTCATCACTGCCATCCTCACCATCGCCGTCATGAGAACGACCATCACCGTTGTGGGTACTTGGTATCACCAAAACCGCCAAAGTTGGGTTTCGGGTTGTGGCACCCAAAACTTCATTTCTCACGAGGTTCAACCCCGTGAACCCTCCTTGAACCCGTCCTGGAACACTTACGCCCACAAGAACCGTCATGGAATCCTGATAAACTCTTGCAAACCCGTATAGACTTCTTTTTCCGCACTTCATAGATCCTTCAAAGGCACACTCATAGCAGCTCCCACAGGCACAGCGCTCTGCCTTCTGGCGGCCGCACCCCAGCGGAGGGGCGGCGCTCAGCGCTGCTGTGCTGCAGAGCCCAGGACTCGCATAGGGTTTACGGTGTGGTCTGGCTAGACTTGCGCCCAGCAGCAAAAAAGGCTTTTGGCCGGCCGAATTACGGCGTGTCGTGGTGTTTCATCGCAGCATGATCGACTCGAGCGCGTGGCGAGAGAGAGAGAGAGAGAGGTCGGAAGTTTCGCAACATGTACTGTAGCTGTAGAAGTATCTCATGCCCTCCACACAGACATCACCACGAAGCAGCACCATCCACAACCAGCAAAACCTATCAGACAGTGCAGAAGAGATGACAGCAGCAGATGCCAGCCTCCTTCCTTTGCACGTTCTCTGCGCAACTTCCTTCGGCTTTTTTTGTCGGGTGCGGGGTGTCGGGGCTGGAGGCCTTCTTGGGTTCTCTTACTTAACTTAGTTGAGAGTTGTGGGTTTAGATTGCAGGTGGCCGAGATTCGACTGAAAGCTATGAGGGTGGGGGCCCGATGTCATCGTAAACTCTCGGGCTTCATGATGTTTTGGCACTTAGATTCGTGGGGTTGCTACCTGTGTGTAGCGGCGTGTGCAGGCTGGCATGGGCAAGGGCGAGTGCTATGGGGTTCCTATAGTCCTAACTAAGTTAGAGTCAAAGATTCCCCAACACCGTCTTCTGTGCCAACTTCGAGCATAGACTTCACCTCCAACCGACGAAAACCAATAAATTCTCTTGGCATGTCCCAGAGTGAACGCCGAAAGCCTGATTCTATCTGTTCAGGCCCCTGTAGCAAGGGTTCCTCACGGAGTCGGAGGGCTAAGGATTTGTGATCGAAGCGGTCTCAGGTCATAGGGAGCGCGAGAACCTCAACCCCGAACCCTTTACTCCAAATAGCGAACGCTTCATTTGACAGCCCAAGCGCCAAAAACAAGAAGAAGCCCTACACCCGAAGCCTTAAATCTTAAATCCTACACCCCAAACCCCAAACCCGAAACCCTGCGACTTTCGCGGAAGGAGAAAGAGGCTACTGCACTTTAAAAAAAAACTCTAAACCCCAAGATTCGAGGAGCTTCGTCGGCTGTGCGGTGCCCCGTTTCCCAACAGCGCGGGCAGCGCCTGTGCTGGATCTGCGGGCGTGGGCCTTGGCGGGCATGAGGGGCTTAGGGTTTAGGGTGCCGACACGTAGTGAGGGTTTTTTTTCCTTGTGAAGCCTTTTGACTTTCGGCAGAGGAGGCAATGCTGGCAGTCATCAAGTCCGGTTTTAAAAGGGTAGGGCACGAGTCAGCTGCCCTGGCGTGACGTTGCAGCCAGTTGCAAAAGGGTAGGGTCGGAGCGGGAGAAGCCTGCTACAAAAGGGTAGGGTTGGAATGCGTACTGCCTCATGGGAAGGGGTTTGCTAAAGTAAAGACTGTTCAGAGCTTAAGTTTGCAGGAGAACAGGTGCTACAGTTCTGAGGAGGTATGATGTTTACGGAGTACATGGGCGTCTCCTCCGCTATGGGAGTTTGTCATGGTACAAACATGGAGGCTAACATGAAAATATAGGGGCCTCGCTGTTGAGTGCAGGATAGTATGATGAGAGAGGACAGCTATATAAGGACTGTAGCCCTAACCCCGTTTTTTTGCCATCGTGGGTGCTGTGGCTGTGAGTAAAGATGGCGACAGCCTTTCGGTCTTTGCTGGTTTACTGTAGGGTTTTAGGGGTTTAGGGGTTTAGAGGTTTAGGGGTTTAGGGTTTTGGGGTTTTGTCCGGTTTCAAAAAGGGTTTTAAGGTTTAGGGGTTTAGGGGTTTTGGGCTGTTTAGGGTTTGGTGCTTAGGTGACCCCTGCGAGTTTTGGCTCCAGGAGTATCGAGTCCTTTCAAAGGGTGTATGCTGGAGGCTCGGATTTCGGAGAGCAGTCTTCAGTCTGCAGGATACCGACGCAGGGCCAGCTGAAGACCGGGAGTCCATTGACCACCTCTGTGCTATTAAAGCTTACGTAGGCCAAGCCGTAGTTCGGCATTAGAAGCCAGCGGTTTCTGAGTTTTTGGTCGCCATGGCGGCGCCGGCTCGGACGGAGGAGGTCATGCGACTGCAAGAGCACGGGGCCTCGGTGTTGTGCCTCGGCTGTCCGGAGGGAATGCTCTTCGGCTTGGACTACGCTGCATGGTCTGTTGGCGCAAACTTTATGGGTGTGAAGTTAGTGCCACCAGGGCTCCACTACATCTACTCCAGCCCACGTGCTTCCGAAGACATCGGCCTGGCACGTACCGGTTTCTTCCTCTTCCTGAAGCCTAAGGACGTTGCAGTCTTCCGCTGGGATCCTGAGGGTGAGGAGCTGGTGAGACCCAATCCCGATGAGGAGCTCCGGTACGCGGACGGTGTTCGGAGCTTTGACTTCGACCGGAACCTCGGCCCCTACCCGCTGGAGCTACAGGAGCCCTGGGCGGAGCTTACGCGCCACGCCACAGCAGAGCTGGTCCAGAAGGTCGAGCCCGTCTCCGGACGAATCCGATCCAAGCGGGCCGAATACGACGCTCACGCTGAAACGAAGCAGCAGACAGGCGAGGGCGCCCAGGGCGGAGAGGGCACCCAGGGCCCAGAGGACGGGGACCAGGTCATGGCAGATTCAGTGCAAAAGGTGGAAGAGGTCATAGAATCGAACGGCTCGCTCTTCTTTTCCTCCATTCCGAAGCAGATGAGAAAGGGCCGTGGCGAGACCGCGGAAGAGACCACAAAGCTGCATATGGATCGCACCTTGCAGCTCGAACAGATGTTGGCACGCGAATACTCTGGCAATGAGTTGGCCATGCTTGGGGAGTTGCAGCTGGCGTACATTGCCTTTCTCCTGGGGCAAAACGCCGATGGCTTCGATCAATGGCGGGGCTTGTTGCAGCTGCTGTGCAGCTGTGAGGAAGCTGTGCAACGCCGGACAGAGTTGTACGCGGAGCTGCTGCGGGCATTTTTCGCCCAGATGAGCCAGGCGCCCTCGGACCTCTTCGGCGACGACTTGACCAAGGACAACTTCCTTGGCAGCTGCACCCTTTCCCTCCTGGAGATCTGCGAAGAGGCTTCGCCCAAGCTGCGGAAGCGCTGCGGCAGCCTGATCGCAGTTCAACAACATCTTAGAATTCTTGAATGCGCAAGGCCAACTTTTACATACTTATCACGGATCCTTTTTTTGTTGTGCCAATACTAAGACAACACCACAGGAAAGCTGCGCGAGCTGGTGGAGCAAAAGTTCGGCCTATCAGCCCAGGATTTGGCCCTCCTCGGAGAGGATGCCCCGGAGATCGTGGACTTGGAGGGACACTTCGTGAACCTGAACACGATGTGTGAGTAGCCCATTCTTGTCCGTAAACGAGTCAATGAAAGTTCGTAAACCACATGCGCACATTTTCTTTCACATTTATGTGCATGTTGCCGACACACGCATACATACACATACATCCATGCATACATACGTACATGCATACATGCAGTGCATGCTTGCATATACACATACATCATTGCATCCATACACACATGCATGCATTCTTTCATGCTAGCTAGCTAGCTAGCTTGCTTGCTTGCTTGCTGGCTTGCTTGCTTGCTTGTTTACATACGTACAGGTATACATACACATGCTTACTTGACGTGCTCGCCTACTTGCATGCGTGCATGCATTGACCCACACACACATGCATACATTGGCATACATACATGCATACACACACACACATACATACACATACATACATACACACATACATACATACATACATACATGCCTACATACATACATACGTA